TGGAGTGAAATGCCCCTCGAGGAAAACAAGAACTTTTTGTAGCCAGAAAACAAGATTCATGCAGCACATTCATCATGAACTATCACGTGAGGTTTTGCAGTGATAAAGTTTATTTCATTCCTGACGAATGTTTTTTGCGCTAAGTATGTTTTAGTTAATGTGTAATAAATACATTTCACAATGAAATAGTTTTTATTTCTTGGGTGGTTTTGAGTGCATTTTGCCTGCTTGAAACGTAAACAGGGTAAGAAGTCTATTATGAAATAATCCTATTATACGATATGAAGAATTATGGCGTTATCAAATATTATAGCATTTTCAAAGCAACATTGAACTAAAAGAACTGTCTTCATTCATATTAAATAAAATAAAATAATGTTCTTGCCACATTAGAAAACAGTCAAGTGACTGTAAGTTATAAAGAATTATGCTATACAGTTGTTCATATAGTATATTTGGGTAAATTAGTAAAAATAAAGTAAATAAATTAAACAAAAATATGAAGAAAGAGCCCCAAATTTGACAATGATGATTATCTGTTTGTTAATACATCATTGAAAAGTTAAAAAACATGCAATATAGTCGAATCCAATAAGCCAGTTCGACATTTTGACTGTGTATCCAAACGACGTGTTTTGAGTTGGGAGAAAATACAGCTGAATCACATAAAATTTAGCTGAGACTGGACGTATTTATATTTTTAAATATTCAGTGACTAATATGTTCTGCATAAAACTGTCAATTTAATTCATTTTCTAATAAACTCTATTGACTTTTTTCTGTCTAAAGCCAAAAAATGGAATGTTTTTGTAACATGAAGCAAGTCAATCGTCTAAAAACGTCTTCTTTTTCTAAAAAAAACTATTTCCGTATTTAAAACATCAAAACTTAATCTGGAAGGGTCTGTGTCAGTGAAGGTAGCGACGATAACAAGACAACTGTGGATTGAGAGGGATACAACTACCTGAAAAATACAAGCAGAACTTCGATGTTGTATCATTTTGTATCCCTCTCAATCCACAGCTTTCTCATTAAAGCTTAAGCCTGTTTTTCACTTCACCATATCGTAACGTACTGTAGAGCATTTTCTTTTCTGTTGAACTCATTAGTTACTCAGAATAACAAAAATATACAGCTACGTTTCGGTATGATATACGGTTAAAGTGAAAACATGTTTTAGTTTTAAAATATTGAAAGAGACATTTTAACCCGACTCAGTTGGATGCGCAGTATAGTTACGCCAATCTGGCTTATTGGAATGTAGTAAAAATATTGTAATAACATGTTGCTTTGCCAGTATGGGCAAAAGTCCAACGCGAAGTTCGAAGAAGCTTTCAAGACTGGGATAAACATAATGATTTGACTTAAAAACATTGTACTGTAAAATCACGAGAAATATTATGACCATTTCGAAAGACTGTGAGTGATTTACTTGGACAAAGGCTGCAGTGTTGCCATCGTTGAAAGTATACGTCGGATTTTACGAACCGTTGCTGTATATGTTACCATTTCATCACTTATGAGAATAATACGTGGTGTATATATTTGTTGGTGATTCAGCTGAATTTGAAAATTTCTGATTATAATGTGACTGATATACGGGAATAATGGTAATGGTGTCTTCCACAAGCTAGTTGCAGTTCGTTTATGTTGAAATATCGATGATTAGCGTGAAACACCAACACTGAACATCATGCTTGCTTGAACACATCGTACTGTAAGACTAAAGATAATTAATGAGCAAGTCAAAAGATCGTGAGTCGTTTAGATAAAGAAAAAGTGTCTACGCTTGAGGAACAGTTCCTGTATGCTGCCATTGTACAACGGTGGAATGATATAATGGATTCCAAACTCCTGATCACTCATGCGACTGATATACCGGAAATTATGCCAAAGCAATTTGCGACAAGCTAGTTTCAGCTGGTATATTTGGAAAAGTCGATGGTTTGTGAAAGACAAACAATATACAACATTACCTGAAAACATTGCATTGTAAAGTTAAAAGTAATATCATCACCATCTCGAGAGACTGTGAGTCGTTTACCTGGACAAAAATTGTACTCATTTTACGAACCGTGCTTGTACCCCACTCTCGGATGTGTACAGCATATAATGCGGGATATATTTGTTGAAAATATATGTATGTGGATTTTATGATCCTGCATGATCACAATGTGCCGCATCTATGAGGAATGGTAATGTTAACTTTCAACAAGCTATGGTATAGTTGGTATACGGGGACAATCGGGCTGATTTGTTGAACACGAGCAATGCGCAATATATTTATTATTAAGGTGAAGTGAGTCTTATATATGAATGCATTAAAAACAATACGGAGTTGGCGAATGGTAGTAATGATAAGTAATCTAACTACTAGAAACTAAATTTCGGAATTATGGTGAAAAGTGCAACGATTTGAAGGAACTTTCGTACAAAAACAAAATTGAGATAATCCAAAGACTATGCAGTTGAATCTTGTATTAAGCTCGGTGAATTACCTTACAGGGAAAAGCTTTAATTATTCTAGACTTTGCGTGGTCTTACTTACGATGTTGTGGACTTTGTTTGGTCTGATGGATGTGGTGTTCCTTCATATAAAGTAGTGAACGGTATTGGTCATGTGGTCAAAACGTGGAACATAGCGCTTGTAATTAGGTCGTGCTGGTACTTTGTCTGCCAGTAAATTAACGAAACGAACGTGTTGGAGAACAAAGAAAACTGAACAATTATTTACCTTTAGATACTTTGAATTAGTTTTAGTATAATTATATTGTTTGTAGATTAAAATAGTTATTGTTGTATATAATTTCTTCAAGAATGAATAATAAATAATGATTGTAATCATAAACAGTCGTAGTCATGTTGGTTTTTTTTGCGGGAAATCTTGGGATGTATCATGCAAACGTATCCTTAGGCGTAGTATAATTAGGACTGGACCGGCGAGGGATATTGTGGGGATTAGAGCATTATCTTCCATGGGACTCGCATAAGTATACTGTATAACGATACAATTGTAGAGGAACATGCAGAAACGGTGGTAAGTTTGGCAGAACTTCTCTAGAGAGACCTTGAACACAAAACTGCATGGGCATGATCAGGTTCCTAATCTAATATGTGACAATCCCATTTCTGCCTTCCTCTCAAATTGGGGTTCCTATATTCATGTTGGTACAACCAGTCCAAACAACCCCGTGCATAGAACTCTGTTATCCTGGTGTACATGATGTGGAACGTATTTACGTTCAAACCAAAATGGTTCAGGATTAGCAAGCTGAAAAAGTTTAAATGCTTCGAGCGATGGTTCTTCGTGATGCAAAATTTGGATTTGTAGAACTAAAATTAATTTCATTTGAATTTCTCATTGATATAACATATTAGGCGATCATGCTATTAACGTTAAAGCCAATTTTTGTGCATATTACTAAAATCTCTTTTTGACAGTGGATCGCGTGCTGAACGCAATAAAAACATTGGACTCATGCCATGACCTTGTCGGGTCGGCGAGCTTGATCGATGTCGAAGTACGTGTCATGACGTCACTATACGTCTGGAAAGCATATTTTTAAATACAATCTTACTCGATGTATACATCACGAATACTTTCTTGGCCTGGGAGCCTCGCTTTCATAAATCAAGACGAAATATTATTCACTTACGTTTCATGAGAACGAGGCTTCGGTCCGTTCGGGGTCACGAAAGAATTGGTGACGAAATTATCGAATTGGTTTATCATGTGGCAATGACAGAGAGTAAGCCTAATTGAAATGATTCGATTTTGATGTCATGGTTAGTATATGTATTAGTACCATATTTACTTTTGTTAACTGCAATATGACAAACCATAATGGCAATGATATGGCAATGATAAATCCCAACCAATTAATGTACGTCTAACTCAGAGAAAACCTTACAGAAGTCCCATCACAACGAGTAATAGATTCAATGTAATTGAAGTCCCAATAGATTATAAACAAAATACTCATTCCAGCACCATGTTAAAGAACCAATCCAGATCTCGGGAATTTGTTCCTAATATTGTATTAACTAACGTCATGTCACTTCTTCCGAAAATTGACGAAATTCGTGTTTTTACTGAAACTCATAGTATATATTGATTAATTTATTCTTCATTTCTGAAACGTGGCTAAAAAGTAATGTTGGGGATGATCAACTTATCCTCCCTGGCTACAACCTCGAACGGTTGGATCGTCGAATTGGAATTCATGGGGACGTCTGTTTGTTTTCCAATACGAAATATAAAACATTCCGTTTATATAACTTGGAATGTCCGAATTTGGAAGTTATGTGGGTTTATGTACGGCCGGCCAGGTTACCCAGAGGTGTTTCGTGCATAGTTACTGCTACTATCTACCACCCCCCGTCTTCAGACGATAATGAAATCTTGGAGTACCTAATTGCATCACTGACCCGGGTTGAGAGTCTCTATCCTGGTTGTGGTTTAATTTTGGCTGGTGACTTTAATCGCTTAGATATAAAACAGTTACGCATAAATTTTGGTTTAAAACAACTTGTGAAGATACCAACAAGAGGGGGCAATACACTTGACCTAGTGCTCACAAACCTAGATCCTTTCTATCTATCGGACTCCATCATCGCATTTCCGCCCTTCGGCCTTTCTGATCATTCTGTAATTGCTGTCTCTCCTAAACTCCGAGACCCTAAGTCTAACCAGAAGAAAGTCGTCTATAAACGTGATATGAGACCTTCACGCAAAGCTATGTTTGGGCGGTATTTAAGCGAAATTGACTGGTCTTTCCTCGACTCACCCAAATCCGTTGAGGTGAAAAACCAACTGTTCACCGATATGCTATCCTTTGGATTATTCTATATATTGCCTGAAAAACGCCTTTTGGTTCATTCCAACGACCTCCCGTGGATCAACGAGGATCTGCGTCGTCTCATACAACTTCGACAGCGTGCCTTTTTCTTCGGGAATGACACCCTCTTCAAATTCTATCGAAATAGGGTTAATAGGAAAAGGAAAACTTGCAAGGCTAATTATTATAAGACAAAAGTAGATAATTTAAAACAATCTAACCCGAACCACTGGTGGCGCGAAGTAAAACGCATTAGTGGAATGGTTTCACATTCAAGCCTACAGGATTGTATCCAATCAGAAAACTTAGAACACCTGCCCTTGGCCGATTTGGCTAATGCTATTAACAACGCCTTTCTAGAACCCATGCAGGAATTTGATCCTTTCAACCCTAATGACGACCAAATCAATAGTATGTCTGATCAACCTCTTGACATCACTACACCGTGGGAAACATATAATAAACTTAAATTACTAAGTACCTCTAAAGAACCAGGTCCTGATGAAGTTCCGAATTTTGTCTACAAGGAATATGCCGAGATTTTGGCATGCCCAATCTCTACCTTGATCAACTGTTCACTCCGCCATCAATTATTACCAAGCTTATGGAAGTTGGCGAACATTATCCCAATTCCAAAGGAAAAGGTTGTATGCGACATTAATAAACACTTAAGACCCATATCTCTTACTTGTTGTCTCTCAAAACTGGCTGAAGAATTTGTCATTGAAAAGTTTGTCGCCCCTGCCATCCTGAAATGCATCGACTCTCACCAGTTCGGAGGAATACCAAGGTCATCTTCAACTATTGCCCTTATTAGTATGTTGCACAACTGGGCTAAAGCAACCGATGGTACTGGAAATTCTGTCCGAATCCTTCTGGTCGATTACAGGAAGGCTTTTGATCTTATTGATCACTCAATCTTGATCAACAAAATTCACCAACTGCCCATCCCAATCTATATCATTTGGGTGGTCGGAAACAGCGCGTGAAACTTGCAAGGGATTGTGTTTCTGAGTGGGGTAATGTCCCTAGTGGCGTCCCACAGGGCACAAAGTTGGGACCTTGGTTGTTTATTCTCATGATAAACGATTTGAAGCTTATGGACATCACCCACTGGAAATACATCGATGATACAACAGTCTTGGAAACCATCCCAAGAAACGGAACCAGTCAAATCCAATCTGGAGCTAACAAACTTGAAATGTGGAACTTGCAGAACAAATTCCAATTGAATGTCCAAAAATGCAAAGAGCTTTTGTTTCAATTCCACAGAAATAGAGTATCCTTTGATAATATCCATCTTCTTGCGGGGTGTCCAAACCTGGTTCACCAAGCTAAAATTCTAGGTGTTACGGTTAGTGATGATTTAAGATGGTCTACGCATGTCCTAAACATAATAAAGAAAGCCAACAAGAGAATCTTCTTCATAGTCCAATTAAAACGAGCTAAAATACCAGCCAAAGAAATTCTAAACTTTTATTCTTGCTGTGTCAGACCGGTTCTGGAATATGCTTGTGAGGTATTTCACTTTGCTCTGCCTAAGTATCTCAGTGATAACATAGAATGAGTCCAGAGATGAGTTACATCCATAATCTTTCCCGGTTTGTCTTGCAGCGAGCGTTTGGACAAAGCTAACTTGACACTCTTAAGCGATCGTCGAAGGCATGCCTGCTCCAAACTATACAATCAGATAACTAAGGACCCTGCACACAAGTTGTCGAATTTGCTTCCTGCACGTCCACCTATCACCAATGACTTGCGTAGTATATGTGTCTTCCAAACACCAGTGATTAAAACTGATAGATTTTTAAAAACATTTATTGCTTCTTGTATTAAAGAATTCTCTTAAGCCTAATCTTCGTAGTTTTAACTTTGTAAATACATAATTTATATACTGAGTTACACACTTTAAAATATTTGTAACACTCTTTTATATACCTTTTTTATTCTCATAATTACCATTGTTGTATTAAAGTAACACGCAATCCAGTCGTACCCGGCTGCAATGTGTTTTCTTATTAAATCTATCTATCTATCTATCTAAATCATGATTATTAAAGCGGGCCGTTTTGACTTTGGGCTGTTTTGACCTAGCAGCGTATTTGTGGGCAAATTGTCTATGCAGTTTTATATACTAGATATCACAGCCATATACCTGCCATTTTGATCTTTTCCTCGTGTTAGATAAGTTGATAAGTACACTCATTCTTGTTAGCCATCGTACCTGTTAGGCTGTTCCTCTTTCGATACGAAACTTCGAGCGCTGAGCTATCATACGGCACATTCAAGTGTATAAATTATGGATGATTCCAATTCATTACGAATATTTCTTACTCTTATTCTTTGAAATATTAAGAGGCAACTTTTTTGCAATGTCACATATTTCCAATGAAAAGTGTTCAAAACCTAAAATCGTTTTGGCGTTCCCCTCAAAATTGTTTTATTCTCTACAGTTTATAGAGTTAGCTACTTTTTGAATGCGTCTGCCGGTTGAGAAACATAAAATAGTTAAAAATTGCCAATTAAAATACAATTATCAATGATGCCTTAAAATTGACGCTATATTTACAGCCATTTAAGCAAAACGTACTGAACTTCAGACATCATTCATCATATGGCGTATCATCTAAAATCTCTTCATTTTAGCATTATTTTACGGATAAAGCACTAAACATACTTTAAGGGTTTTTTACCGATTGAGAAACGTATTGAAAAATAAAAATTTTGATTTTAGTCATAATATCATGTGGTATATAACATACAAAAAACTCATTTAAAGATTTGGGAACAATGCTATACCAAGGCAGCATACACTACCCTGTGGGTAAACTAGTATTAAAATATCTTTCACTTGGAATTGCATAAGGTCAACAATTGTTGACGTGTACTCAGGCGGTGTGCGCATAACGACCGCTAAGCACGATGGTTGTAGATTTTTCAAGATGGCGACCAATCACGCTGAATTCGGTAAGTTTAATCTCTTATTTTTTACGTTAGTGATGACATGAAACTGTATGAAAAGCAATTTAATGCCTTTAGCATTTATTTCTGAAAATGGAACAACATTTTTTGGGAGATTTGCTGTGTCCAACCGGACTGTATTTTTTAAACAAACATGGCACGTTTTTTACAAGTTATTTGATGTCCTTTTACTTTAATGTGTAATTCAGTATACATTACTGTTTGAGTGGTTAAAATGCTCGTAACTGTTTGTTCAAACATTCAACTAAAGTTATTTGTTACCGCTCCCCAACGCTCCCCGTTGTGTTTCCCGTTTTAATCGATATAAAACATGATAATTTTGTTATTTTGACAGGTTGATTCAATAATATGGCCGCCAAAAGACCTTGTGTTGTCGAAGGCAATACACCAGGGAAACCAACCAGCAAACGACCGGTCGAAGGAAAATCGAGAAGATCTTTGTTTAATAATGAAACGCAATGCGCAGAGGATGAAACTAAAGTATCTTTCGCTTGCAAAACAGAAAATTGGACTCTTAAAGAGACATCAGCATTGGTGCAGTATATCTGTTTATTTTGGAAGGACGCCTGGAACAACAGATGGCCAATGGCAAAGGACAAGGACTTTTGGGACTCTTGTGCGCGAGCTGTCAACGATGTTTGCCAGTCAAATAGAACAGGTTTGTGGATTATAGAATTCAGATTTGCTATCCATTTTCAACTCTGCAAAAAATGAAGTGTGGTATTTAGCGTGTCTATCCCGTATCCCACAATTCCTCAAAATATGTATGTAATGCCAGGGTTTTGAAAGGCAGGACTTTGTGTTTTATACTTATTAAAGAATTTTCTTACCATCACATCATTTTTTCTGTCAGGAGCTTCATGCAGAACTAGAGTGACTAAGCATTTGTCAAAGGAGTTTAACTCATTGTCCGAAGCAGAAGAAGCCTTGCAGATAGATTATGTTGGTGGGAATAATTTTGGCCGTGGTGGTATATTCAACACTGCAAGCAGCACCCCACACCATTCAACCATGGTAGATGAACCATTGTCACCAGTGTTTCAGTCATCGCCAACAGTAACAGAAAATACTAATCCACGTCTTATCGGGGACTTAATTAAAGAGTTTTTGGCTTATTTTAAGAGTATGATGTCATCCAGAATAAAAAAACAACTGTTTAACTATTTGTTAAAGCTGGCTGCATTGGAAATTGGTAGTTTCCCATTTTTGGAGTTTATACATCAAGATTTTTTAGATAAATGTATGAATGCAATGATGACTTTATTTGAGGCAGGAAAGCACAACATTATCTATGATTTGTGTGAATGTTTGCAAAGACAGGATTGTGATGCTAAGACACGATTGCCATTGGACCGAATGCCTTATGGCCTGATTGACTATAACATTCGTTTCTTTGCAAGCACACAGACAAGGAAACTAACTTGTGAGGAACATTATGCTTCCTGGATAGAGACTATGTTTTCCCACTTTGGACATAAGTGGCTGTGTTTACACAGAGGGCCAGTTTGGCAATATCAAGAGCACAAAGAAGAGATCATGCAACCAGCCAAGTCTTTGATGGAGATTGCACTTGATCAAAGTGGCATTGATTTACAATCTCAGAAGTTTCAAGAATTAGAAGGTGGAGATACTTCGTTAAGTGGAAGTGAACTTGACCTTACACTTGCCAACATGGAGTCAATTTCAACAGCTTGTCGCTGTCAGATTGCCAGGTTAATGAATTGGAGCCAACCAGCAAAAAAACATCTTGTGCACAGAACAAACCTGCTGGAACTGTTACCATGGTTGATGATTGGTTGATGGTTGACGATGGTCACAACACAAGACTGGCCGTACCAAACCTATGGACTTGTGTAAGTGAGAGTGATGCACGAGAAATCGAAAGTGGTCTAAACAACCCAAAGGAAATGGAAAAGCATCATGGTATTGAACCAATGTTGTCAAAAAGAGTGGAACGTAATTCAGGAATATTTGACCCTTTAAAGGTGTGTTTCATGTGATTGCCTTAATTGTACCATAGTTTTTACTATAAAAGCAGCTTTTTTATGTATGTGTACTCTTCATACTAATTCTCAATGATGAAGGGCCTTTGCTCGAAATGTTGAGAAGATATTTTGCTATTTTATAGGCTTGCATGTACCTTTACAACCACAATATTAAATTATTTTAATCAGTTAAAATTTAATTTTTAATTAACCCACTTTATCTTTGTCTGTCAATTGAAACACTTGTGTATTGTATGGTTCTTAAAGTTTGTATTCTGAGGAAAATCATTTGTTGGTCGTATGAGAAAAAATACACACTCTCTCTGCAGGGGAGAGCCGAGAGAGGGGGTTGTGCTTCTCAGAGTAGTACTGTTTGAAGGGGGTAGGGGCTAATTTCATCATCTGTGATGAAGTTCTGTGTGTTTTCTGAAATGATCCACTACGTGATAGAAGCAAGACAATCTTCCATGGACTTATTGCCTAATAACCAAAGCTTTGATCTCAACAACACACATTACAGCTTGAAAGAGCATCACAAAATTATTTATATCCCAAAGTTTTGTTGCAAAATGTTGTAAAATGCAGATATCAATAATATCAGTCATTTTGTATTACGCACAGGAAACTGGTACCGCTTTCTCAAAAAGGTATCAATTTCCTGCTCGTAACACAAAATGCCTGAAAAACAATAAACTTTGCAAGGCTATATTATCCGCATTTTACAACATTTCGTAACAAAACTTCGGAATATTACTAATTTTCAAGCTGTGATGAAATTTTTGTCTAGACTTGTCTAGATCAAAAGTTTGGTTTATTAGCCAATACAGTAGATCCATTCACTTTTTATAATTATGACATTAATTTTTAGAGCAAAGTCAACATTGCTAGTTTAGGAGTAAGATCACTTCAGAAACGTGTGCTGTCTTCAGGCTTTACAAAAAATGCTGAAATTCAAGTAAGTATATACTGTAGCTTCAAATGTATTTTTAAATTTTACTTGTATGATTTTGAAATATATTCGATGAAGTTCTTAGATTATTTTTTCCTTGACTAAAGCAAGAAAAAATTTACTAAAAGATAGTGATATTAAAAAGTTAAAGCGAAAGTTTTGAGGGTTGTGTATACCAACATGAGTTATATTTTTTCTAGACAAACGCTCTAAAGAAAGCACACAACAGCACTCCTACTGGACGATGGTGGATCAAGGCAGATGCCTGTGATTTAAGGCTGGGGTTACGAGAAAGCATGCGTGGATGTTGGGAAGGTGATGTGGATATGGGTGATGGGTCTTTGCAGTTGTTATTTAAGGAATATCAACAGAGGTGTAATTTTGTTAGGAGTATTGGCATTGGGCAGAGGTTGAATTTGATTCAATGTGATTTCCAAAAAGTAAAGGTTGAAATTGAGAATGATGTTATTTTCCTGATGAAGGGAAGTGAAGAGGCAAGCAAAGTTTACAATAAGGCAGTTGAAGGTGGGAAGTCGGCTGAAAGCAAATTGATGGGATTGGCGTGGAGTGTTACCGGCTTTCAAGAGCTCTTCAAGAAAGCAAAGGTTTTGGTTATGGATTTAGGAGGTGTCTTAGATGGTGTCTGTGGTGGTCTTGACAATTACTTGATAGATCTGAAATCACATCTCCAGCATTATCTTAAAGAACTCTTTTCCAAAAAAAGAGTGGCTGCCAGTTATCTTCTTGTTTTCATGATATCTGACGAGCTGAGGAATAGGAAACCATATGCTGTACCTATACAATTTATTCCGTACAAGTCACTAGGAGACTTCCAGCTACGTGAACTTCAAGTCAAGGTTGAAAATGCTATGAAAAGTACAGGAATGACAGTTGTTGGTAAATACTTACTAATAAATAAATGATTTTTATTTTACTTTGCAATATTTGCTATATAACAGATTGATGGAAATACAGTAATAATTAACAATTAGATTACAAGCTCGAGGTGATACAGACTGTATCCTGCGAGCAGAGTCGTGTGTTTATTTCTCTCCGCTTGCCCACGGGCACGGAGAGAAAGAGAGACTCTACCGAACTTGTGCGGTGTGGAAAGGACTTTTGTCATTTGCGGTGCGCCAAATATCACTGGTGGACTTTATCACCGGCGGAAAAATCCACCGGTGACGTCATTGTTACATCAAAGGCCCGTGGGCACAGAATACTACACAAAAGTCCATCTCCATTGTTTTTAGCGTAAGCGCTATTCGTCATGATTCATCACTCAGCAACAGGGCCGCAGAGAGGGGGGGCTAGGGGGGGGGCAAATTGCCCCGGGCCCTGAGGTGCTGGGGGGGCCCTGAGGTGCTGGGGGGGCCCTGAAAAATTTTTGTTGGTCCCAGTGTTTTTTGTGTGTTAAATATTTCCGCGCCAAGGACAAGATATCTGTTTTCTTCGGTTAAGTACCAAAATTTTGCATGAAAAATGAGATAAAGTTCCTGGAAAGCAATTGCAACGTACTCGTCCGGAAAAATTTTGACCCCTAAAATGGTACACTGACCGAAAATTTTTTGGCGTCGGGGGGGGGGGATGCCAAAAAAAAAATTTTAACATAAGGGGCCCCCCAAAAAATTTTGCCCCGGGCCCCCGCCAACTTCTCGGCGGCCCTGCTCAGCAAGTACCGTAAACAGAAGCAGTCCCCCCCCTGGAAATACTAAAATGGCGAACGTCCAGGGGGTGACTGCTTCTGTTTACGATACTTGCTGAGTGACGAATCATGACGAATAACGCTTACGCAAAAAACAATGGAGATGGACTTCTGTGTAGTATTCTGTGCCGTGGGCAAGTGGAGAGAAATAAACACACGACTCTGCTCGCAGGGTATACAGACTGTAGTTGATGAGGGCAATCTGGTTTTGGAAAAATCAGTAAGAAAACATTTCAAAAAGATTTTGCTATTTAATCGTGATAAACTCGTGAAAAATCGTTACAAAGAGATGGTTTTTCCCTACTCGCTATCTATCAACAATTACATAGATAGCGAGAAGCGTAGCCAATCAGAATGTAGCATTTACTATTAAATTTATAATAGTTCTTTATTTTGCCATTGGATTTTAACAAAATGTTTGTATTTCACGTACTGTCTGTCACAAACTATGTTATTTCCGACCTGATTACAGAACTGTGAAATCTAGCTTCATTTATTGCAGGATTCACGACCGATGGTGAATTCAACTCCTTGAGGACAAATGGAAAGTTGCGACCTATATCTGTCATTGAGATCATTAAAGTCGCCAGGCAAGAGGCACGTAGTACCAGACAAGAAACCATTCACCATTATTTCAAACTGAATAAACAAGGTAGTTATATATTTTGAAACGTTATGGCAATAATATTGTGTATTCGTCAATTTAGCAATAGTTTGTATCGGTACTAGTGTTGTACTGTACAGGTCATTACTTTTTACTGGAATTTTTTTATCTGGACAATTTTATATTTTCTTAATAGGTAGTCAACTGAAAGAACATCCAGCAGTTCCTATAGATGATCTGTTATGGCTGGATGCTTACATGAACAATGGTGAAATCCCATTCGAACGTGCCATTCTTATGTTAAGAAGAACGTTGTTTCCATTTATGCATGACCCATGCCCCTGGATAGAAGGTATTGTATTTGATGAACAATTTACTCGCTCTTTTCTCGGTCTGGTTTCTACTTGGATTCGAAATGCTGATTTCAAAAACCTTCGTTTGATGGGTATTCAGGTTAAGCATTTCCAGTATTGGCTGATTGAATAAATAAAAAACAACAACAAAATGTTTTTACAGTTTACGGCAAATATTGTCTAGATATCGCAAACTGAATCTTCATTGGCACGGTAAAAGAATTACGTACGGAAAATTATGGTATTATATGCCGTCTTCTTTAACAATTTTGTGAATTAACAGTAAATCCAAAAAGCACGGAATATAAAAAACACAATAAGACAGTGAAATTTTCCGCAACCGTTTCCCTACTGTGCCCCGAGGTGCTGGGGCCCCTGAAAATTTTTTGTTGGGCCCCAGTCTTTTTTGTGTGTTAAATATTTCCGCGCAAAGGACAAGATATCTGTTTTTTTGGGCTAAGTACAGAAATTTGGCGTTTTTGAGAAATGGTATTCTGATTTGAACATTATGTATTTCCAAGTAATCTTAAGAGTTGAAACTTCAATACACTGAAGTTAGTTCATGGTAGCTCTATGCAATTCTCTGATAACAATTAACAAGGTGCATAATTATTTCATTTATAGGACGAGTCGAGACGCCCTTGGACGTACTAAGATCCATCTTTGCCATTTACCTTTATCGCAAGATGATCAGCGATTTGATAAATCTTGAGAAAGATCCTGCTGATTTCAACACATACCTCTATCAGCCTGAGAAAGATGAACGAGGTGAATACATCCATCATCGAGAAGATCACAACCATCTTCTCAAACGAGTTGTATCCTGCTTGCGCGATGGCCGTATCCCGGGCATCGATTTACGCTACTTGAGGGATGCTTTGCACGACCCGTCTACAGGCTTGACTTACGAGGCCCTTACAGGGAAGAATAAGCAATCAGTACCGGATTGTGAACGTCTAATCGGTCCAGGTGTTATTTCTTTCCTGCAACGTAAAGGTCACGAAAGTGGTGCAAAGGTACTCATGCTGATACACAACTGGCATAAAGCTGTGGATGGTCGAGGGCTTTCCGAGTCTGTTCGGGCAGTGTATTGCAAGGAAATGAAGGAGTGGATTTTATCAGATTGGATGCCTTGGTTTAAATCAATGCCAGGATACCGTTTTATTGATGTTAACAGGTATGTTTTGTCAGTTATTGTTGATTTATTGTCACTATCTATCCAGCTATTGTTGGGTTTCACTACGGCATTATGAAACCCAAGAATTGAAAGAACAGTTATATCAACCTGTTTAATAAAGTCACAATGTAAAAACTCTCTCTATATAGGAAATTAAAAGGGATCTGTGGCTTGACAAGGGAAGTTGTTGTTGGAATGGTTGCCAACCTTGAAAGCAGAGAACTGCGTAGAATAGAGTATATATCAAGACAACTTCCTCCGGAGCATCCACGAGCTTCCGCAACTGATGACGTCGAAGGCATGTTTTCGCTACTTCATGAAATGTTGGGGGATATCTTTGACCTGAAACAATTCCATGAAGCACAAGCAAAGATATTGAATGAATTCAACAAAAGGATCGACCCAGATTTAAAGTTTTTTTACTGGACAGGGGCCAAAGACCGCTACACTGATTTTGACTTACCATCTTTCAATGAGCCAACAAAGAAAGATGCTGTAGAGAGACTTGACCAAGTGAAGTTGTCACGTAGGGGAGATCCAGGCGTATTTGTGCCAAATCGAGCATCTCTTTCGCAGAAAGGACAATTAACAGCAAGGGCAAAGTTTCACAGGGCACCTGTGGAGTTGCCTCCACATTTACTGTAACATTGTCAATACTGCATGCAATGAAGAGAACCAATTTTCCCCCAAAAGTGTTTAATATGCACTATGCCTGTGTCAGACGTATCACACTGCCTGAGTGTGTAAGGTACGTTTACACACCGCGAATGATTAACTGGCAACATTTGTCATTACAATTTCGCAAAACGTGAAAAAGGCCCGATCAACCGTTGTTCGTTGTGTGTAAACATAGCTTTTAAGGGAGATTATTTTATTAATATCGGAATCTATTTTCGCGTGCTTATACTGTTGTCGTAATTACTCGACATTTAATATACAATTCGGCTTAATTAATCTAGTACATACTGTGTACATTTGATTGAAGAAGTCGATCTACCATTGGCATTGTAAGCTTATATATTTTAATTAACTGCTAGTCATTTAATCTACTTTAAAGCTAGCTTGGATAACAAAATTATTCCAAACACCTTTCTTGGAAATATTTAGAGTTATGTAATATCCTGCTAATAAATATCGTACACATAACCGCACATGCTTCACTGAAACATCCAGTGCCGACTCTTTTAACGGGCCATGCAAGTACGTAGTCAGTTCTCTTGGGATGTAACCAACTTTTTCATATTCGTCTTCTGTCATTACATACACAGCAATGGCATTTTTGTCTACATGGTTATCTGGCTCTGCCACTATTTTAGCAAAAACTGGTCTGTTGTAAACATGGAGGAAATCATACGCTCTTTCAAGAGCTTTTTGTCTTGATGATGAGTAACATGTTCCAACGACTTTAAAGGGCAGACAATGTACTGTCTCTTCATCATCTCTGCCACTTGGTCTTGGCTGAGTTGGCTGATGCTCAACAGGTTCGTGAAATGGCTTGTAACTGTCTAGCTGCCAAAGCACTACATAATTCATCTCATCAATCATTATGTCACAATGTGATGTGCACATATATATACCAGGTCTTGCATTTGAATGCTCTTTTGCATTAATCAAACCTTGACATTCCTTACCATTCAAGACAAATTTCACCTTGATTAGATCAACTGTCAAGACTGGAAAGTTTGGTATCACATAGGGAAAAGACACTCTTTCAACAGTGGTTATGTGGACTTCACGTATGTCTTGTGCTTGAAAAGAATGTAAAATAACTTTGTGTTAGGAAAAAGTAACAATTTCATAGACAGATTTTCATATTTATTACTGGGGTGGTGCCAGAAATTTTAGGGGGGTGAGCCGTGAGCAGGTGACTGAAGCAACACAAAGTGTCACCAAACCCCAATAAGGTCTATATTCTAGGGGTGGAGCACTAGAGCCACGAGGGGGAGTCTAGAGAGCAGAAAACAAAGTATCCCAGGAAAAATTTGAAAAAACTCATGATTTCTTCGAAAAAAAAGTTTTTTGAAGTTGTCAATTTGTCATATCAATGGATTTGGCATGTCTGATTGTCTGTTGAGACTTGAGAGAGTTTAAGACTTACAGTTAAATGAACCTGTAAAAGTGTAAACCCAATAGGCCAATACACAATATGCTTTTACTTTTATAAAGGCATTGACATTGTGTTGTTTGAGTCCGAGAACAATTTATGATGCAACTCCGATGTAAATAATATTTGGGGTGTAAAGATTAAATCTAGACAAGTCTATTTCCTAAAAGAATTAAAAACTAAAAATAGTGTTCGCAAAAATTCCAAACGTTCCTTGCGTGCAAGCTCTTCGCATGACAAGGCACTGCAAACTCTATTAGGGGAAGATAATAGAGTTTCAAAACTTTACAATTGCTCCAATACACCAGTGAATGCAAGTGAGGAGCGATTAGTTTCAGAGTGTTACACTGTCTTTTTCTGTTCAAGTGTACTCCTACGTTTATTTTGTATCATCAACACTCTGCACGTTGGAGTGGACTATTTAATTATTTATTTATTGTGCAGAATATTGGGGGGAGGGGGTGAAATTTTTTTTGGAGGGGTGGACAATTTGTTTGGGGGGGGGTTATAGCTAATATTGGGGGGTTAGCACCCCCAGAAAATCTGTCTATGAACAATTTACCTTTAAATTATATTCAGAGGCCTCCTTTAATTTATTGAGGCCTTGTTAGACAGAGGCCTCTTAAACTGAGAATTACTAACAGGGAAAGAGAATACACAACCTAAATAATAGACATTTCTGGTGAATTTTTCTTACATCGTCAGAAAAGTGTATTAGTAATATGACCTAAAACAAACATTCCATAACCAAACTGTAACATGCATAGCAAAGTAGTAATTCTCCCTCAACTGATATTACAGATCCTTAGAATTTACCATTTGTTGTAGCAGATGCTTCTTGTTGACTATGCAATGTATCATCACGAACCTAGAACAATGGCAAGTAAAATTTCTGTTAGGTCAGTCACTAACATTTGTTCGTAAATCTCTCAAAAGTATTTCACCTTTACCTGTTTATCATTAGCATGTAGGGAATGGCTATTGACTTTCATGCGAGTGGTCGTATGAATATTCCCAACAGCCAGTTCCTGTGAGAACTCATCAGTCAGTAATCTTAAATCTAATGTTAAGGAAACCTGCACAAAATGTCAAAATCATACATCATCACAAACACATGTGAACAATACAATTTATTGATTAAAGGATACTTTCCACACAGTAGCTGCAATTCCACTGCTGGAGCTGCAGATTCCCATTTTCGTAGAGGTACTGCTTTTCCAGCATTGACATCAAAGACAGTTTGATGTAAAAATACTGACATGGCATTAGCAAAACATTCCTTATAATCAGCTGGTGCACCTCTTTTTTCTAGTGTGTGGAACAAATCATCTTTGGAACATATTAATTTGTATGCAGTATGGATACCAACACCACGGACGTTTTTTAGGTAATCACACCCAGCTAAAATACATAAACTCTGGAACTGTTCGAAATTTAGCTTCAATCCTTCCAGTATGTTGGTCAGACTCAAATAACAGCCTTCACCACTCAGGCAGAGCTTCACAATCACCTAAAAAAAACATAGCAATATAGCAAAATTGTGGGAGCAGTTTAATATTGGATTAATTGACATGATTCTGATTTAAAGTTAAACAATTTTGCCATCAAATATAATATAATACTTCCCTTAATTAACCCGCTTTGGATGTCCTAATCTGCTATCTATTACCCAGTATCAGAAACAATTTTGGTTCCCCCAACTCCCATGATGGTGGTTGGGAGATTAATTTCCTCAGTTTGGGGAAGTGTGTATGTGTCTGAAATGACCCATTGATGTTTTGACACAATTTTGAAGTGTCAACTCCCCCCCCCCCCTAGGGCCCTCAATGTTTGTATGGTACTTCTTCTTGGGGACTCATTCAACATAGTCAGAATGTCGGATCCACTTCATAATTGTCACTTGGAACACAAAATACAGAAATGAGCTAGTCAAATCGGGTCCAAATTAAATTACCAATTCCCTCAGGGAATTTTTATAGCATATAAAATAAACAAACCTCTTTGCAGCCATAAGCTAAAAGATCAGAGTCCTCTGTAATAGCAAAATCTGCAACATTTGTCTCAAGCAAAAAAGCCATTTGTGCATCTGATTCATAGGGCGAGACAACATATGACACCTTTTCTTTTAAACAAATCTAAACAGATTTGATGTACTTGGCTAGTGAATTTATTCCACATGTTGTATATTAAAATTTATTTCTATGTTAATATTATAGTTAAAATAGGCTGATATTCACCACGGGAACTCACGTTTACACAAGTTGAAATATCATTGAAAGAGATTGAAACAGCTTGGCTTCGAAGTTTGTTGGCCTCTTGGGGAGTAATTCCTTCTCTTTCTGATTTCAGCAAACATTCTTCTCGGCCTCTGTAAGGGAAAATATTTATCTGTCAGTTCAGTTATAAAATGTGAATATAATAATATATCAAAGTAAAATCTTGGTTGCAAACGTTGCTATAAAACTATGTATAAAGTTGCTTCAATCACCTCTGCCTTTTCTCGACTTCACTCGCTTTTGCAGGCAATGGAAGTCCATCAAATACAATATAAGGAGTCACTCCTGCTCTTCTAACCACTGACAAATGCTTCTCGAAAATATCAGCCAACCTGAAATATAGAAACACCGTGACTATAGTATGATCGACTGTTTTTTAAACTCAAAATTGTCACTGCAAGTTCTCACCTTGAACGATTTCCAGTTTGAGATATGGATAAAACCAAGGCCTTGTGAATCCAACAGGAAGCATCTATTGCCGCTATTTTGCCCGAAAAGTCAGTTAAGTTTATTCTTTTATGGTAATGTTTTAAGAAAGGGAATAAACAATGTATCCCCATTTGCAATGCTATTAATCAGAAGCAGCTTTGTTGACGTTCGCTCAAGCGCGACCAGATTGCAAATGAAGCAATTTTGATTTTTAACCATCGTGCTTAGCGGTCGTTATGCGCACACCGCCTGACGTGTACTGTTGAATAGGGCACTCTGGATGCAAATCTGTATGCTATGCGGCTACGGTATTAATAAAATTGCGGCCAAATATCAGCATACACTGATACACTTTGTAAGTCTAAATTGGTATGCAATTTTTTTAATTCGTTATAAGTGCTCCTGTTTCAATGCATAAAGCACACAAAAATCTTGTGATCTGGCAGTAAATAATACACTTATACTTTATATCACAGAAAGATGCTAGAAAAGATATACAACTCCAACTTCTGCTTTCTTGAGATAGCAGGAGTTCGACTTTGGAAAACAGCCGTTTTGAGCATGCACAGGGCTAATTATCCAATCGGAAACCAGGATTTCTTGTATTAAATATTGTATAGCAACTTCAGCAGATAGGAGTGACACACAAGTTGCGTGTAAATGAATACATTACCTGGAAATTAGCTGTTGCAATTACGTAAACTGAACTTCGAATTTTTGCTTCAATCCACAGAACTTCAAAAGCACTTTTTTCCAAGTCTTCCCGTCTCTTAAACTTAAAACCATTAGCAACATACACAGCACATCCACCTATACGACGCCCTTCGGGATCTTTTCGAAGCACAGAAAATCCCACGATACTGATTTCCTTGTCATAAACAGACTGAACTCAACCACGTCTCGATCACAGAAATGAGGAAAGGATTATTTCTTTGAAATATAAGCCTGAGTATTATGTAAGCCATATATTTTACCACTTAACTATTTGAATGGTTTATTGCATATAGTTATATCATACTCGCATCTTTAGTATCTTTGTTCAGAATTGCCGTTGGCAAATGGAATTTCAAAAAATCTTTGATTTTATCATCTTTTGTTTAGCTTGATTCATTGTGTCCTCTGCAGCTCCTTGGCCAACATCGTTGCAGTACGCTGGCAGAATAAGCGTCGCCAGTTTTTCCCATACAAGATTGTATGAATCTGACATGTCTAATTTTTTAAGTATCTAGAGAACGGAAGGATTTGATGAAAAGAAAATAAGGAAGAAAGTTTGTTATTTAAACAATAAACTGAAAAATAACTGCATAGTCATGGTATATACAGTACATACCTTTTTCAAGCAAAATAGTAACATTGTATAGCATTCTAATGCCCTTTGATCTATTTTATACTTGTTTACGGTGATCTCTTCTTGCACATTGGCTTGTGCCTGAATAAAGGTTTCATCATTCTCATAACGACTGATCACCCCATGCAAGTATGATGTTAGTATTGGTATACTCTTGTGTGCACTTTCCCTTTTTCTTCTTAGGCTTTTCTCTGCTTTCAAGAGAGCTTGTTCGTCCAGTTTTGGAGAAATAGACCCGAACAATATTGGCAACCACCGAGATTTAATTCTAAAAAAATTCTGTTACAAGATGCCATTACAAGTGAAGATACTAAGAACACTACTGCAAACATTGCAGTATTTTGGATGCACTCGGAAAAGAAAGAAATCAAATATGTTAGCTCGAGACCAGAACAATCAAGCAACAATGATTTTGGTTACTTGATGTCATTGCAATTTTCGTTTGTGGTGATGATGGGCACAGTATGCAGCTTGAACAATGCTGTCAAATTTGACCTTGCAAACCAAAATATAGAGATCAAATCAAATAACGGCAAATATTGAAAGTCCGCGACGACCAAGCATGTAAATATTCATTGTGGCCTCTATTCAGTTTAGCTTGTTTACTTGTAGTCAATGAAAAAACAATAATGCGCTTAAGCAAGCAACGTTTTTGTCAACATGGACGTCATATAGCTGGGGGGGACTGGATTAAAAACTATGTTTGGGTCAGTTTGTGGTAATCTTCAACACATATGATGAAAATAAGATTTTAAAAGTTTTGTTTCTTTATATGACCGCTATGATGCAAAATCCCACCAATATTAGTTATACTACTTTTCGGGTGACGTCCGTGTTGACAAAAAGGTTGCTTGTTTTAGCTCACTAATCATTCACAACAGCGGTGTATACAACTTAAAATTCAATTAAACAAGGTTATAAGAGCACTTACAGCATTATAAGAATTTATTGTCGCATTTTTCATCATTTTTAGGTTTGAAGAATTGTCCCAGCCAAAGGGGATTGTAATCCTCAACTGCATTTTTTCGATAAATTTACTGGAGCATTCTTCAGAAAATAAAGTATGTAACATAAAGAACTGAGATAGTCGCTTTAGAAAGTTAAAGGGAAATTATGCCAACATAATGCCAAAGACAATACTAAAATGAAATATTGTCGATGGGTTGCTAATACAACAGGATCAATCTTAAACAACATAAAATAGAAGAATACATGTTCACATCAAAGACAAAGATCAGTGCCAAAGTATAAAATCTGCTCTGTAAACTTACAAGGAAGTGGAGAAATGTGTGTATGAGCTGTTTTGTCAGCCCAGAGACATACTGTAGCCCCCAAAAAGTGTTAGTTCCCATAAAAAATATTTCAGTTTCCAAGACATGGGAAATGAAAATCGTTTTCTAGGCACTTTGAGGTTACAGCAAACAGCGTAATCTGGCTAATCAATAAATCAACTGTACCACTGTTAAATTTAGTTATTCCCACTTAAAATACATTTAAGCGCTGTTGTCTCTCCTGAGACAGGTTCTCCTTTGAACACAGGCGTTGGGCAACCTTCGAATTTGCAATTAACAAATCGTAATATGTGGCCATTCCACTGGCCGCATGACCCATGATAACCTGGGCAAAACTGTTTTGAAAGAGTTCTTGTTCCACAAGAAATAATTCTCAAAGAGCTTTCGCCGTTATCAAAATCTGTAATGAAACCAAAAATATATATGTCATACTAGAAACTGCTAATGTATATATTGTACTTGAGTTTTGTATCGCTTATACCTACTGATTCAGAGAGAGTCTACAAAAGCCCATACTCGTATTTTTATGCAAAGGGGAAATAGTAAATTGAAAATTGCTTGCAATTTCAATCATTAACATCAACCCACAGTTCTACATATCAACATGTTTAAAATACAGCTATTTTAATTAAGGCTGTCCCTGAGCGTGAGTGAAAATGAGCTGCTGGGAATCGCTAAAAATAAAGTCAAATAGAAGCACAAAGGGCAACTGGGAATCGCTAAAAAATTATTAAATTTTGTAGCAATTCTCAGCAGCCTTTTGCGCTTGTATTCAACTTTTCCACTTTGATCGGGGACAACCTTAATTGAAATAGCTGTATATACGTATTAAATTACCTCCAACCACGTTTGTTAATTCAAGAAGCTTGTCCTCCTTGCTTATTAAGCATGTGTGGTTTTCTACTGGTACAAACAAGCCGTTGGCGTTCATATGTATGTCTTTGTTAAATACCCATATGTCCTTGTTTGGCTGTTTCCCAATGAGCTAAAAGTAGCAACTTATTAGTACAAGAAATTAATCGACGTATCAAAACGTAGATTGCGCAACATTTTGCACCAAATTGAATCTGCCTTTATTCACGTCCATCTGCTTTACATTTTTACAGCTCAGACAAAGAAGCTAAGAAAAAGAATGACTGTACTGCTAATCTTAAAAATCTAAACGAAATTTAGCTCACCTGGACAGGCTCATATCGTTTTCGATCATTCTCAGATCACATATACTTTTTGTAGAAGTTCTAAACGAACTGGGGCAGGAACGTCTCCTTCGACTGTGCTATCCACAGTGCAGGAATTTTGGTTAATTAATGTATTAATTATACTTGAATGGTTACCCATCTTTCGGTTGGACAAATAGATGTGGCTTTTCAAAATGACTATGTAAATATGTGACTATGGCTATGTAAATATGATTTAAATAATACCCCCACCATTATGTAAATCAAGCAAATGTGAGACAAAATCTATTATGTGCTCAAATCTGGATATAATTCATTGCTGCTTAATCTGACAAATGTGCATCACCAGACTATAAATTACTATATGATCTTCACAAAACAGAACTTTACCTAGGTAAGAATTCGAATTTGTACAACTCTTTTGGAGCTGTACACCATCAAATTATGACTTGAAGACATATTTGAGGTTTATACTTGCTTAATAATTCCTATTAAATTCATCGAATTCATGGTATTCATAGCACACTAGCAGGTAACTCAGGATCGTTAGTCAATTTGCACAACAAGAACATTGAAGTTCAACTTTGGAACAACACCATGATCCGTTTTTCTACCATGTTGTGTGCTGTTGGATGTTTCCATTTAACACATAAAAAACACGTTTTGGACATTACAACACGAGAACATCGATACTTTGCTTGCGGCAGAAAAACATCAGATGCTCCGTCTTTGATGACAAGCCTCCCAAGGTATCAAATTGAAGCTCAGAGAAAGTGCTTTCTGTCGAGTTGTAAAATATGAAGCTGTGCTATTTCTGCTCAGCGTCCTATGCATTTGTATTTTTACTTCCTGTTATTTTTGTTTATTTCCGGTGAACTTTAGCATGATTGTGCACAAAATTTGAACAATATATCATATGTGGTGATGGCCAATGCATTGGAAAAATATTCTAAAACAAAATTTAAAAAAGATATAGTTGTTGATACTGAGCATTACTAACCCTATATTTGAAAATTTAAGATTAAACAAGACTTACCTGTAAGTCGAAGTTTGATTGTAATTCTATGAGTTATTGGACAAGGAAACTAAGGAGTTATGTGAGATATGCACATGCATATCCAGCAATCAGTTTTCAACGCAGTGAGTGATTTCAACAGAATAGGTACCGTATAGGGGTGGGCAAGAGTGAACCAGAATTTCTTATGCATTCGCCAATCCAGTGCCCAACACGGACTTATGACCACAAACCCAAAATGTTGTGGGTCGGTGACTCCTTAGTTTCCTTGTCCAATGATTCATAGAATTACAATCAAACTTCAACTTGCAGGTAAGTCTCGTTTAATCTTAAATCGTTTAATCTTAAATTCTATTTCATCATTGGACTACGTCACTAAGGGAGCCATGTGAGATTTTCAAAGTGTTGTAATCACAAGATCCAGAGATGAGTCGCAAACATACAATTTTACTCAATTTCAACATTAAAAATGTAAATAGTTAGCTTATGGAAGCTTGTAACAACGAAAAACCAAAATGGTTTTCTGATCTTAATGGTTAGTTATAACATATCTGAAAGGTGGTGGCATTAGTCCATCCAGCTGCTTCCAGTATTGCATCAATTGAAATATCTGCTCTACTAGCGGCTGATGATGCCGATCTTGTGCTGTAACCACAGAAGAGTTCATGCATAAAATAAATAAATAATCACATGCATGGGTGCAATTGTGCAATTTTTGGCACTTTTTTAAAATATCACTCATAGTGTTAATCATTAATTCCACGATTGCCCATGTGATTATCTATATCTAGGTAATGTCAAAGTATGAATAATTCAACGGTTATTGGAGTCAACATAATTAGAAACCAAAACTGGATGAATGGAACACCGTAAATGTTTAATAAAAAGTTTAAAAAATGAACTTTGGAACTTCATATATGCAGATTGCACCCACTGGTATAGGTACTATATCACAATAGTACCACCACAATTTGTCAGCCTCAACTGCCTTATTCAACCATGATTTATTTTTTAAAATTTTTTTGGTGTTAGCGACCATTGGCCACTAAACTTTCCTCACCTATGGTAAACCTTCCTCACTGGCAATGCCCGTGTGCCCGCAGCTTTTTTGCAACTCTGTTTTAAATAAGATGATACTAGATGACGGTAGATGACAAGTAGATGACAGTAGATGACACTAGATGATGGTAGATGATGGCAGAAGACATTAGATGATGGTAGATGACAGTAGATGACACTAGATGACAGTAGATGACACTATATGACGATAGAAGACACTAGATGACGGTAGATGACATCAGATGATGGTGGATGACACCAGACCAAAGTAAACTAGAAACACATGCATGCAATAACCCCTCGCCTGTTTTCAAAAGATGTATACTCAGTGCCGTTGCGAGCACTTCGTCTGAGGGTGTGTGTGAGGTTAGATAGAGGCGGGGAGGGGGGGGGGGTTACCAAAATGTTTCCAGATGTACAAACATTTTTGCCTGAAAATCTTCTGCAAATCTACTTAAATTTACCTAAAAGTGCACTGGAAATCTACCTGAAATTCCTCATGAGCAATTATCAGGGGTGTTGCACCCCCCCCTTCCCCAAGTGAGTTCCAAGCAAACACTCTCTGATTTATTGTTCGTGTATTTCACCTCCCAAAACATTGTGCATCATACTATAGAGCATTTTGCTGTTGTCGTGCTCTAGCATGGTTCAAATTTATGAATTTTTATTATATAAAGTATAGTGTTTTACAGAGATTTCGAGCACTGATAAAAATGATAATCTCACATGTTAAATTATTCATGATAATCTCACATGTGAAAATTATCGCCTTTTCAATTAACGCTTTTCTGTAAAAATTATCGCTTTTCATTTAAGACTGTCCTTTATATAATAAACAGAAAAATACATGGGTGGTTGGAAATACCAGATTTATTTTTCGTGTTGAACATGACATCTCACTCGTTCGCTGCGTTGACTTGTTCGCTTCACACTCATGTTCAACACTCGAAATAAATCTGGTATTTCGTGCACCCATGCATTATTCTCTATTTAAACTACAACTTGACTGGTTTAAATTATTATCAAGTTATCAGTGATTCACTGATTGTAAAAGTTGCAGATAGAAGTGTTTTGTTTTATATTATTATCAAGTTATCAGTGATGGCAAAACCTCCAAATCCTTAATTTCTAATGTTAGAATGCTAGGGTTTGTAATCCAAGTGAGAATATATACATTTTAAGACCTAACCAGGAACGACTGCGAAAAATGCAGCACAAGGTCCTCTGGTAGGAATTGAACCTACGGCTCTGCGATTCCGGTGCACTAGCGCTCTAACCAACTGAGCTACAGAGACCAGCTGTTGAGCTTTAACCGTAAGTTCATGTATATTTAGGTAATTGGGTGTGCGGGTTGTGATAAGGTGGACTTCAATAATTTGGATTCTTGCACTTCACTTGTTGGAATTAATATTAGAATGTTAGGGTTTGTAATCCAAGTGAGAATATATACATTTGTATATTCTCACTTGGATTACAAACTATTCTCATTTGGATTACAAAATATATACACAAAATATATACATGTACTATACATTTGTATATTCTCACTTGGATTACAAAATATTCTCACTTGGATTACAAAATATATACATGTATATATTCTCACTTGGATTACAAACCCTAACATTCTAATATTAATTCCACAAGTGAAGTGCAAGAATCCAAATTATTAATTTCAAATGCCCCGCCGGGGCTAAGGTTTGAGTGGAAATGCCCAACCCCCGGGATGTGCTTTACAGGAAAATGGCTGGGCGAGGGGGATGGGCACACTTGGATTTGGCTGATGCATTAAAAGTCCTGTGCTTATTCCAGACTGCTTGTCAAATATTTACTTGCTAGAAGTAGAAATTTACTCTGACCACTGGATGAAGAAGACATTAAATAAGTACTGGTCAATAAACAGAAATGTATTTTATTTCATAGTATTACAATTTTATTTTTATACTATAAAAATAAAATATAAACATGCAGCATAGAATATGCAAATTCGAGGCAAAATTATTGTTGAATCGGTTTATTTATAGGATTTTATAACAAATAGCAACTATAAAAGTTTGTACCTTGTCTTCATATCGCTTTATTCTGTTAGCCAATGCTTTTAAATTTGCATATTTTAGAATCAGTTCCTTTCCTGGTATAGCTGCATTTCTAAATGAAATCATCATGAGTAGTGAGTGCTGAGCAGGCCGTCTTAATATAAACAAATTGATAACAACTTTGAAAAATATATCGTTGCACATTCGGTTACAGTCGGAAAAATGTTCATAGTATGTTGTACCGTCGCTTGCACCTAACGATGAACAGTCGCTCATAAAAACATTCGCGTGATTAGAATCTCCAATGTTTGTCAAGAACAACAACACTTAATTGTTGTTTCCCATGTGTACAATAACAAGTAAAAAAAAACTTTGTGTGGTCTGAACGTGTTGGGCCAGAGTCCTACTGGAAACCTTTACAGGCTTTTTTAATAATGAGAATAGAGAATATTTTATCTGCAACTGTTCACCTTTAGTTGCAACCGACGGTATTTGGCAGCATAAAATTGCCTGTGGCTGTGATAACCGATATAAATAAAATACAGTCTGGTTTATATACTGACTTGAGCGTGTCATGACAAACTCTTTATTGGAAAATTGTGAAGAAATAGTCGAATATAGAGGATCGAATATCATACTTCAACTTGTATAGCTACAGTATCGTTGTGAAGACAAGCCTTTGCTTACCTTTCGCTTCAGCAGTCTTTTTTTCCATGCTTCTCTACGCTTTCCCAGGCGAGCTTCTCTTTCCTCAGCAGTCTCCTCGAGCAAACGTTGTCGTCTTCGCTCCCTCCTTTTCGCTAGATGTTCGGCTTTCTTGTCATTCCTTGCCTCTCTTCATTTGGCTCCATATCTTTTCAATTGGTATTTGATACCGTAATTGTTTTATTAAACTTTTTATAGAACAAATTGCTTTGAAAGCTGTCAAAGTTTTTTGCAAAGGTACAAAATACTGTAGTGTAAAAAGCAAATTATTTTCATGAAGTATCTGTCAGTTGAAGTCGTCATTTGTCATACAACAACAAATTTTAAATTTGACCAATCAGTGTTCGCTATCTACCATGACAGTCCGCCATATTTTTGAGATCAGTGAGGATGACCACCCACTCAAGGTTCGTTGGTCACGGCCGCGATATTTGATGAACTTTAGACTTGGCTAATGCTTTCGTTTCCCCGGGTGTAAATAGCCGGGAGGAATTAGTACCCTTGCACGGCGCTTTGCGCCGCCGGCTCGGGGAATATATTGTTCTCATTTGCTATATATATGCAAATTTGTGCGACAAACAAGCGAAAAAAGATTGCCAACTGGCAACGCCTTCGCAATTTTGAACACCAACAGTAGAAATATGTTTCATCAAAAATGCCTCCAAAACTGCATAAACAGCTGGATTCCAAACAAATACAAAACTCTTTAAGAGCAAATATTTTAAGTCTGGTAAGTTTGTCTTTCATTTACAATGCCATTTTCCCTACTCGCATAAGTGTAATAAACGTCTGGTCCTTAATGTTTATTAGATAAGAGACAAACAGAAAGCAATCGCATGTTGTGCTACTTGGCGTGTGTGCAACGAAGATATAGAGCTTGCAAGGTTTCAAATAGCTTCCAAGAGATTGCTTGTGATGTTACTCTGAGTGTATATCCACACCGGACAGGCTTGAAAAATATGCCTGGCCACGGTGGGAATCGAACCTGCGACCTTTACGACCATAGGTTCGATTTGCCTGAGTACATTACACCAACACAAGAAAAAATTCCAAGAGATTGCTGTTGGACGATGCCATTACTGCGGATTCAGGTTGAGTGTTTAATGACGTCACGATCAGGTGAACGTTCCAACAGATAAACGCGGGTGTTGTCAAGTGGCAAATTATATGTTGCTAAGGGCGGGAAGGCATTTTGTTCTTGTGTTGTTTACACGTGTTCGCATTTGTCAGAGATGGATAACATAATCGAAATTCAGTTTGACTACCTTTATTATTCTAAGTGAAGGGTTACCCCGTTATTTATTAGTACGGATGAGTTATTGTCTTACAGTTACGATGGATTTTGCTCTCGAATGTTACAAGAAGTTCCTCATATTGCGAAGATGCTGCTGCCAGCCGAATCGTTGCGAATGATTTTGGCGGAAGATAATCGACCAGAAATTGACTTGTCTCACAAGTACTTTCAGTCCCAGATAGCACGACTGGTAAATAAAGGACTAAAAACAATCGTCATTGGTATTGCCGAAAATGAGTCACCGCTACCTGCACAGCCAACACAGTCATCGAACAGTACGTGTAAAAGCCAACATTTGACAGGACAATCTCGAAGCAGACGTTGTCTATATGTATCTCAAACCGTCGCACAAAACAACGTTGATAAACAAGGAAACCTAAAGATTTTGTGTGTGAATGACAACAGCTATAATCTTGGTTGTAGTACCACTATAAATTCAAGTCCTGAACCACCAGTTTTACCTTTAGAACGACACGTGAAAAGATAGGAGGAAATTATTCAAAACATTGACAAAGAATTAACGGTGAAAAAAATTGAACTCAAAGACCTTGATAACAAGCTTGAAAGGGCAAACATGCAAAACACTGGGCATCTTTCAACATGTGGAAATTGCCATTTAAAATTAGGACACACCAGAAAATCATGCCATTTCAGTCCATGCAAATCTGCATTTTCGTGCGGGATACTTTCAAAGCACGCGAATCAAAAATCTAATCGAGAAAACATTAACAAAGACATGGAAAAACTAGAAAGCCAGTTACGAAAAGCAAAACATGATCTAGAAAGTGCGAAATCGGCCGTGGAAAGAATAAATAACTCTGCAGATAAAAGAATCGAGGACATCATTCTAAATGAACAGCCTCACAGATATAGTACATCTTGTGGGCGCAGAAATTGGCTAATTTTGAACAAGGATGTTGCCCTTTTGCAAAGCAAATTAAAGGGTACTCTCCCAACTCGGAAAAACGTTCTGAGTCTTTTACATTCGGTTGTAAACAAAGAATCACAAATGACACACACGGCTACATCCTCGGCTACATCAACTCAAACACGGCGAGATACTGATCACAGGATGGCCCCCCAAAAGAGAGTTCTTGAAGAACAATTTTCTATCCAATTTCCAACAAAGAGACAAAACAGTGCCGCAAGCAGTAACCCTATATTTGTACATAGTCAAGAAAAAGACGATTTTCGCTTAGCCTTGCAACTACAGCAGGCGGAAATGGAATCAACTACCGAAAACGAAAGTTCGAGCACAGCAGTCGAAGTCTTTCAACATGATATTGATGAAACTCAGGGTGCAACATTTGACGAAGAATACCTACAGATGGAAGCAGAAGCGGCGGCAGCGTTATTACACCTGCAGAAACGAAAGAGCAAAGAGTAAAATTGTACAAAAATATAACGAACTTTATAGTTTTCTTCAAAAGGTAGCTATACACATTTCTATTTTTAGTACAAACTTGTTTATGAAAGTCACTCATTTTGGTATAGCACAAGTTATTATATATTGTCGTTGTTTTAATTTTGTTAGGGTTTGTATAGTTTTGAACTCTGGTTTAGTTGAATACTTATACTATGACACTACAAAAACATTTTCTTCAGTATCTAGTTTATACTGTACATATATTTGATATTAATCATAATTTAAATAAGTGAAATATTTGCGGCATATCACAGAAAATGACAACTGTCATTATTTAATATGTGTTTGAGATAAAGTATATACATCATGCATTGCACTTAAACTTGTAGGTGACCAGTGACTTCAAAAAATCCTTTCATGTCACTTGGGGAAATTAACTCCAGAGAAGTGTACATGTTTTGGATACATTGAGCGACAGTAATGTCAGTGTAATTACCGAAGCTGTATTTCATGACGGTACGCATCTTACCGAACACATATTCCGCAGGGTTAAAGTCCGGAGAATATGCAGGCATGTATACTAGTTCAATCTCCAGGTCGTTCAGAAATTCTTGTAGAATTTGACCGCCTTGGTTATGATGGGTGGCACAGTTGTCCATCACTATAACTGAACCTGGCTCTAAAACAGGTCTTGCAGTTCTTGGGTTTTCTGAATGATAAGCTTCTTCAAAAAATCTAAGAAAATCTATAGTATCTGCACTACCATTTACTGTGTTGGCGTAATCGACCCCTGTCAAAGAACACATAAGATTGACTGTTGTGTTAGGCGTTTCCGCGTATCGTTGAAGTTCAATTGCTCGTTCCCCAATAGGAGCGTGTACGTAAGTTCGCGAGGCGTGTTGAGGAAGTTTGAGACCACACTCATCGAAAAATTTTAGCGTGTATGGATCCTTCTCATGTAGGTAATCTATGAAAAGCTGTGTGTATGCCATATTTTGTAGCGTAAACCGTTCTTGGGCGACAATATTTAACTTTTTAAAGCTGTACTCTTTACCACTAGGCAGCCGATGTCGAACTGCCTCGGACAATGCTGTCGTTGAAGTTGTACCGTACGGCAAATCGCCAAATTCGTGCAATTGTTGCATGATTTCATCGTATGTAATTGTAGGTTTCTGCTGTTTCAGAAATTCAACGTATTGTAGGTCCCCTTGAGAAAGGTGGCTTGGGTTGCCACCTGTATTTTTCTTCGGACTAATGCTACCATCTTCGCAGTAGCGCTTCCAAATATTAGATACAACAGCTGAAGATACCCCTAACTGCCGAGCAATATCAGTGTATTTTCCATGGAAAATGCCTGTTGCACGATTACCCCCATTATTAATGATTTTATTGATAATCAACAATCTCAAGTCATGAGATAAAGGTTTTCCTTGAGCATAAAGTCGACCGTGCTCGTTTACACGCCACATTTTTTTGCTATTGTAACGGTTCTTGTAGATTGTATTTTTTTCCGCGTTTATTTGAATTTAGAGAATTTAGCAGTAGTATTTTTGTTAAAAGTGCTATGTATATATAATCTTTCAAGTGTTATAAATATTTGTAATGGAAATCGAAAATAAATGCAAAAGTGAAGGTTATAGAGTGCATATGTATTGTAATTTGACAGCTAGCTGAATATAATTTTGTGCATAGCAACATATAATTGCATGCATGGCAACAACGGCGTTCAGTTGTTGTAACGATCATGCGGTCATGACGTCATTAAACACTCAACCTGAATCCGCAGTAATGTGATAGGAGTGCATTTCTTTTTCTCCTGCATCACAAGCGTTTGTTCAAACTCGAAATCAAAAGTTGAGGAGGAACCCACAGACACGGAGCCCGATGAAGCCTATCCCTCGATTGCATATTTCATTGTGTACACACCCAATGACAATTGCAATGACAACACCTTTTTTACCATGCTACATAACCAAGATTTAGAGCCAGTCATTCAAGGTATGTAACATTGTTTCCACCACAAAGCCACACCTAGCATTCTGTTATCTATAATAGCGTTACCAGTATCAACTACCGACCACAAAAAGTGCACTACACGCTAGGGCACTCTGGGTGCAAATCTGTTTGCTATGCGGCTACGGTATTAATAAAATTGCAGCCAAATATCAGTATACACTGATACACTTTATAAGTCTAAATTGGTATGCAATTTTTTTAGCTCGATATAAGTGCTCCTGTTTCAATGCATAAAGCAGACAAAAATCTTGTGATCTGGCAGTAAATAATACACTTATACTGTATATCACAGAAAGATGCTAGAAAAGATATACAACTGCACTTCTGCTTTCATGAGATAGCAGGAGTTCGACTTTGGAAAACAGCCGTTTTGAGCATGCACAGGGCTAATTATCCAATCAGAAACCAGGATTTCTTGTATTAAATATTGTATAGCAACTTCAGCAGATAGGAGTGACACACAAGTCGCGTGTAAATTAGTACATTACCTGGAAATGAGCTGTTGCAATTACGTAAACTGAACTTCGAATTTTTGCTTCAATCCACAGAACTTCAAAAGCACTTTCTATCTCTTAAACTTAAAACCCTTGGCAACATACACAGCACATCCACCTATACGATGCCCTTCGGAATCTTTTCGAAGCACGGAAAATCCAGTGATACTGATTTCGTTGTTATAAACAGACTGACTCAACCACGTCTCGATCACAGAAATGAGGAAAGGATTATTTCTTTGAAATATAAGCCTGAGTATTATGTAAGCCATATATTTTACCACTTAACTATATGAATGGTTTATTGCATATAGTTACATCATACTCGCATCTTTAGTATCTTTGTTCAGAATTGTTGATGGCAAATGGAATTTCAAAAAATCTTTGATTTTATCATCTTTATTTTGTTTAGCTTGATTCAATGTGTCCTCTGCAGCTCCTTGGCCAACGTCGTTGCAGTACACTGGCAGAATAAGCGTCGCCAGTTTTTCCCATACAAGATTGTATGAATCTGACATGTCTAATTTTTTAAGTATCTAGAGAACGGAAGGATTTGATGAAAAGAAAATATGGAAGAAAGTTTATTTAAACAATAAACCGAAAAATAACTGCATAGTCATGGTATATACAGTACATACCTTTTTCAAGCAAAATAGTAACATTGTATAGCATTCTAATGCCCTTTGATCTACTTTATACTTGTTTACGGTGATCTCTTCTTGCACATTGGCTCATGCCTGAATAAAGTCGTCGTCATTCTCATAACGACTGATCACCCCATGCAAGTATGATGTTAGTATTGGGATACTCTTGTGTGCACTTTCCCTTTTTCTTCTTAGGCTTTTCTCTACTTTCAAGAGAGCTTGTTCATCCAGTTTTGGAGAAATAGACCCGAACAATATTGGCAACCACCGAGATTTAATTCTAAAAAAATTCTGTTACAACATGCCATTACAAGTCAAGATACTGAGAACACTACTGCAAACATTGCAGTATTTTGGATGCACTCGGAAAAGAAAGAAATCAAATATGTTAGCTCGAGACCAGAACAATCAAGCAACAATGATTTTGCTTACTTGATGTCATTGCAATTTTCGTTTGTGGTGATGATGGGCACAGTATGCAGCTTGAACAATGCTGTCAAATTTGACCTTGCAAACCAAAATATAGAGATCAAGTCAAATAACGGCAAATATTGAAAGTCCGCGACGACCAAGCATGTAAATATTCATTGTGGCCTCTATTCAGTTTAGCTTGTTTACTTGTAGTCAATGAAAAAACAATAGTGCGCTTAAGCAAGCAACGTTTTTGTCAACATGGACGTCAGATAGCTGGGGGGGACTGGATTAAAAACTGTGTTTGGGTCAGTTTGTGGTAATCTTCAACACATATGATGAAAATAAGATTTTAAAAGTTTTGTTTCTTTATATGACCGCTATGATGCAAAATGCCACCAATATTAGTTATACTACTTTTCGGGTGACGTCCATGTTGACAAAAAGGTTGCTTGTTTTAGCTCACTAATCATTCACAACAGCGGTGTATACAATTCAATTAAACAAGGTTATAAGAGCACTTACAGCATTATAAGAATTTATTGTCACGTTTTTCATCATTTTTAGGTTTGAAGAATCGTCCCAGCCAAAGGGGATTGTAATCCTCAACTGCATTTTTTCGATAAATTTGCTAGAGCATTCTTCAGAAAATAAAGTACGTAACATAAAGAACTGAGATAGTCACTTTAGAAAGTTAAAGGGAAATTATGCCAACATAATGCCAAAGACAACACTAAAATGAAATATTGTCGATGGGTTGCTAATACAACAGGATCAATCTTAAACAACATAAAATAGAAGAATAAATGTTCACATCAAAGACAAAGATCAGTGCCAAAGTATAAAATCTGCTCTGTAAACTTACAAGGAAGTGGAGAAATGTGTGCATGAGCTGTTTTGCCAGCCCAGAGACATACTGTAGCCCCCAAAAAGTGCTAATTTCCATAAAAATATTTCAGTTTCCAAGACATGGGAAATGAAAATCGTTTTCTAGGCACTTTGAGGTTACAGCAAACGGCCTAATCTGGCTAATCTATAAATCAACTGTACCACTGCTAAATTTAATTATTCCCACTTAAAATACATTTAAGCGTTGTTGTGGGCGTTGGGCAACCTTAGAATTTGCAATTAACAAATCGTAATTTGTGGCCATTCCACTGGGCAAAATTGTTTTGAAAGAGTTCTCGTTCCACAAGAAATAATTCTCAAAGAGCTTCGCCGTTATCAAAATCTTTAATGAAACCAAAAATGTATAGGTCATACTAGAAACTGCTAATGTATATATTGTACTTGAGTTTTGTATCACTTATACCCTACCGATTCAGAGAGAGTCTAGAAAAGCCAATACTCTTATTTTTATGCAAAGGAAATAGTAAATTGAAAATTGCTTGCAATTTCAATCATTAACATCAACCCACAGTTCTACATATCAACATGTTTAAAATACAGCTATTTTAATTAAGGCTGTCCCTGAGCGTAAGTGAAAACGAGCTGCTGGGAATCGCTAAAAATAAAGTCAAATAGAAGCACGAAGGGCAACTGGGAATCGCTAAAAAATGATTAAATTTTGTAGCAATTCTCAGCAGCCTTTCGCGCTCGTATTCAACTTTTCTGCTTTGATCGGGGACAACCTTAATTGAAATAGCTGTATATACATATTAAATTACCTCCAACCACATTTGTTAATTCAGGAAGCTTGTCCTCCTCGCTTATTAAGAATGTGCGGTTTTCTACTGGTACAAACAAGCCATTGGCGTTCATATGTCCTTGTTTGGCTGTTTCCCAATGAGCTAAAAGTAGCAACTTATTAGTACAAGAAATTAATTGACGTATCAAAACATAGATCACACAACATTTTGCACCAAATTGAATCTGCCTTTATTCACGTCCATCTGTTTTACATTTTTACAGCTCAGACAAAGAAGCTCAGAAAAAGAACGACTATACTGCTAATCTGAAAATCTAAACGAAATTTAGCTCACCTGGACAGGCTCATATCGTTTTCAATCATTCTCGGATGACATATACTTTTTGCAGAAGTTGTAAACGAACTGGGGCAGGAACGTCTCCTTCGACTGTGCTATCCACAGTGCAGGAATTTTGGTTAATGTATTAATTATACTTTAATGGTTACCCATCTTTCAGTTGGACAAATAGATGTGGCTATACAAAATGACTATGTAAATATATGACTACGGCTATGTAAATATGATTTAAATAATACCCCCACATTATTTAAATCAGCAAATGTGAGACAAAACGTTTGTCTGTGTTTATTATGTGCTCAAATCTGGATATAATTCATTGCTGCTTAATCTGGCAAATGTGCATCACCGGACTATAAATAACTATATGAACTTCACAAAAAGTTAAACAGAACTTTACCTAGATAAGAATTCGAATTTGTTTGGAGCTGTACACCATTTCTTTTGGAGCTGTACACCATCAAATGATGACTTGAAGACATATTTGAGGTTTATCTGAGCAAAGCATATGTTTCCGAACGAAATGTGTACTTTACTGATATACTTGCTTAATAATTCCTATTAAATTCATCGAATTCATGGTATTCATAGCACACTAGCAGGTAACTCAGGATTGTTAGTCAATTTGCACAACAAGAACATTGAAGTTCAACTTTGGAACAACACCATGATCCGTTTTTCTACCATGTTGTGTTCTGTTGGATGTTTCCATTTAACACATAAAAAACAACGTTTTGGACATTACAACACGAGAACATCAATACTTTGCTTGCGGCAGAAAAACATTGGATGCTCCGTCTTTGTCGAGTTGTAAAATTTGAAGCTGCACTATTTCTGCTCAGCATCCTATGCATTTGTATTTTTACTTCCTGTTATTTTTGTTTATTTCCGGTGGACTTTAGCACGATTGTGCACGAAATTCGAACAATATATCGTATGTGGTGATGGCCAATGCATTGGAAAAATATTCTAAAACAAAATTTAAAAAAGATATAGTTGTTGATACTGAGCATTACGCACCCTATATTCGAAAATTTAAGATTAAACAAGACTTACCTGTAAGTTGAAGTTTGATTGTAATTCTATGAGTTATTGGACAAGGCAACTAAGGAGTCATGTGAGATATGCACACGCATATCGAGCAATCAGTTTTCAACGCAGTAAGCGATTTCAACAGAATAGGTACTGTATAGGGATGGGCAAGACTGAACCAGAATTTCTTATGCATTCGCCAATCCAGTGCCCAACACTGACTTATGACCACAAACCCAAAATGTTGTGGGTCGGTGACTCCTTAGTTTCCTTGTCCAATGATTCATAGAATTACAATCAAACTTCAAAAACTCGATAATTCATGAGGAAAACACAAAGAGAAATCATAAGCGTGGCGTGTCTTTATATGTGATAAAACACACTTCAAATTTCAACTTGTATTTTCTCAGCTAATACAAAGTTATTTTGGAAAATTATTTCGCCAATGCCGTGATCTGAGACGTTTTTGAAGCTGTTTAATAAACTCGTAGTTTGTGTTTTATCACATATAAAACACTCCGCTACGCGTCGTATTTTATATGTGATAAAACGTTCCTACTCGTTTATTAAACAGTACTTCAACTTACAGGTAATTCTATTTCATCATTGGACTACGTCACTAAGGGAGCCATGTGAGATTTTCAAAGTGTTGTAATCACAAGATCCAGAGATGAGTCGCAAACATACAATTTCACTCAATTTCAACATTAAAAATGTAAAGCTTGTAACAACGAATAACCAAAATGGTATTCTGATCTTAATGGCTTGTTATAATATTTCTGGAAGGTGGTGGCATTAGTCCATCCAGTTGCTTCCAGTATTGCATCAATTGAAATATCTGCTCTACTAGCGGCTGATGATGCCGATCTTGTGCTGTAACCACAGAAGAGTTCGTGCATAAAATAAATAAATAATCACATGCATGGATGCAATTGTGCAATTTTGGCACTTTTTAAAATATCACTCATAGTGTTAATGATTACTTGCACAATTGCCCATGTGATTATCTATATCTAGGTAATGTCAAAGTATGAATAATTCAATGGTTATTGGAGTCAACATAATTAGAAACCAAAACTGGATGAATGGAACACCGTAAATGTTTAAAAAAAGTTTAAAAAATGAACTTTGGAACTGCATGCATGCGGATTGCACCCACTGGTATAGGTACTATATCACAATAGTACCACCACAATTTGTCAGCCTCAACTGCCTTATTCAACCATGATTTAGTTGTTTTATTTTTTTGGTGTTAGCAACCATTGGCCACTAAACTTTCCTCACCTATGGTAAACCTTCCTCATGGGCAATGCCCGTGTGCCTGCAGCTTTTTTGCAACTCTAATTTAAATAAGATGATACTAGATGATGGTAGATGACAAGTAGATGACAGTAGATGACCTAGATGATGGTAGATGACACCAGACCAAAGTAAAATATATTGTTCTCATTTGCTATATATATGCAAATTTGTGCGACAAACAAGCGAAAAAAGATTGCCAACTGCAAACGCCTTCGCAATTCTGAACACCAATAGTAGAAATATGTTTCATTAAAAATGCCTCCAAAACTGCATAAACAGCTGTATTCCAAACAAATACAAAACTCTTTAAGAGCGAACATTTTAAGTCTGGTAAGTTTGTTTTTCATTTACAATGCCATTTTCCCTACTCGCGTAAGTGTAATTAAACGTCTCGTCCTTAACGTTTATTAGATAAGAGACAAACAGAAAGCAATCGCATGTTGTGCTACTTGGTGTGTGTGCAACAAAGATATAGAGCTTGCAAGGTTTCAAATAGCTTCCAAGAGATTGCTTGTGATGTTACTCTGAGTGTATATCCACACCGGGCAGGCTTGAAAAATATGCCTGGCCATGGTGGGAATCAAACCTGCGACCTTTACGACCGTAGGTTCGATTCCCACCGTGGCCAGGCATATTTTTCAAGCCTGCCCGGTGTGGATATACACTCGGAGTAACATCACAAGCATCTTATTCACCCGAGTACATTACACCAACACAAGAAAAAATTCCAAGAGATTGCTGTTGGACGATGCCATTAATGTGATAGGAGTGCATTTCTTTTTCTCCTGCATAACAAGCATTTGTTCAAACTCGAAATCAAAAGTTGAGGAGGAACCCACAGACACGGAGCCCGATGAAGCCCATCTCTCATTTGCATATTTCATTGTGTACACACCCAACGACAATTGCAACGACAACACCTTTTTTACCATTGTGTTATGGTAATCTGCACCCATGTTCTTCGCCGCTCTGCAATTTATACCACCCCCGCCAATGCGAAGATGACTTATGTCAGAATGATGGATGTTTCAAGTTATTTGAATAAGTTTCCTGCAAACGACGCCCTAAACAATGACCTTGTTCGACACTTCCAAGAGGTTGAGAGAATACTATCACATCCAGCCTGCGAAACGATCAAGCAAATTAAATTCGACGTAGACCTAATCGAAGTGTCTAACGGTTTTTGTTTCTCCATCAGCAAACGTGTGTTCATAGCGAATGTCATTCCATCCTCAAAGATTGGCAAATTATCACCACGGGCCTTTGTTCCTTATGATTGTTCAACACCACCCCTACCTAGATATTTACATACATACATACATAATCATTTATTTAGTCATGCTAGCCTCATCAGCGTTAGCTAGTTTTGATGAGGGGCATGTATTGCAAAATACATAAAGCTACTTACAAATTATGATAGACATTAAAGATATTACTTACAAGTACAAAATAAAGTACAGTCACAAATTACTAAGATGGATTACAGATTAATACAAGGATTATCAAATACAGAAAAATACATTGAAACTAAACTATTTTAAAATAATCATTTATCAAGGTGAGTCAGCTTCAACTCGTTGCGAGTTTAAAATCCTTTTAAATGTGTTAATGGATTTGCATTTTTTGCTTCAATAGGTAAATTATTCCAATGGATAGCTCCATTTTATTTAAAACTCCTTTTACCGAAATCTCTTTTAGGTTTTGGAAGTGCCAAGTCGGTAGCATATTTCTAAGGTCATGCAAGGTATCACCTTCGCGGTGCAATTGGAAGGATTGTTCTAGATTGGGGGCGGCATGACCATTAATTATCTTATACATAATGATCGATTTTGTGTAGTTATGTTTTTGATCCAGAGTTTCCCAACCTAGCATATTAAGCACATCAACTGATCAAGTATTGTAGGTGGACCCAGTTACCACTCTCGCAGAGCGATTTTGAAATTTTTGAAGCTTATCCTTGAGACCAATAAATGAATTTAACAATGGTGTAAAAACCATCCAAATTTGGCGTGTAATAACGCAGAATATATTTGACAAATTTGGAATTATTTTGATACACACTGTATAGGTTTCAGTTCTAGGCACTGGTATATTGTTAATTAAAATGGGATTACTCAAGGGTTTTATTTTTGATATTATAAGGGGATCCAATGTACATATATTTGGTCTTAGTTGGATGAATTTGGAGCTTATTTTGTAACATCCATTTACGAACATTATCAAGGTCACAGTTTAAGTTTGCTACGAGCTCGTCACAATGTTTGGAGGATGCTTAAATTTCTGTATGGTCCGCATACATAGATGGAGTAATATATTTCAAAGATTTAGGCATATCATTTATATACAATAAAAACAATAAGGGCCTTAAAATTGAGACCTGTGGAATTCCACATAATATTCTTAGGTGACCAGATCTGTGTTATCCAGGGTATTGGATTTGATCTAACACGTTTTTGGCGGAGTGGTGCATGTTTATTAAGTGTTTCATAGAAAAATGACTTCCACAAAATCCAGCATGTGTTAGGGTCATCAAAGGAAAATACCATACCCCAGGGTGCATGAATTAAAATCTGCGCGAAATTCATCAATCGAAAAGTGTTTAAAATCGCGAACTTCCTTAATAGTAGGACTAGATCTCAGTAATTTGAATTTATGCACATCATAAATTAAGATGTGGTCCAAAATTCCAAGGTGAATAACACCATACCTGTCAAAACAGGGTATCCTAGGTAGTGGCGCTACCTGCAAGTGTCTGAAGCTAACTGCAATCCTTGTCTGAACTCTGAAGTTTTTATGCATACTGACTAAAAAAATACTTAAAATTTTCCACAAACTAATTGCAATATTTGCATTTTCTGGATTTCTATTCTTTGAATATTATTTATTATTTCACAATTTACATTAAGTATTACTTCACATTGCATGTGAAACGCTGGCCAGTCGAGCCCGCATATTTTTCGTGCGCTAGACAATGACATTTAAGAATTTCAAAAATTTAAATAAGTTGAATTATTCATCAAGCAACAAACTATGTAATTGTAAGGGTAAAGGTTATATGGAAAAGGAATTTTTAATAAAGTAAATGAATAAGAGGGTTATTGTGGAGACTGCGAGAAGAGTTGGTCCAGAAAGGCTGGTTTTGATGAGCATTTTAAACTAACCCAGCTAAAAAGTGGCGACAGTGGCGGTGCTCTTATTAAAAACCCATGTTGTGAACAGAAAAGAAAAGTTTGGGGTTACACACGTTAGAAGAGGCCCAAGCCAGCAAGAAACAGAATTCACAGACTGTGAATATAAAACAGTCACAGAATTTGAATCGCTTGAGGGCTATTGGGCTAACTGAAAAAGAACTAACTGCAAAAGAACTAAATATACAAGCAATGAATAACACCAGTCAGTAGAATATTTTCTGGTCTATTTGTTAGAATAAGATCAATTAAAGTACTAAAGGTCTCAGTAACTCGCATTGGTTCATCAACCAATTGCGATAATTGATATAGGGAACATAAAAATTGCAGCCTGCAAGAGTGTGGATCTAAGGATACTTTCATGTAATCACAATTTATATCCCCAATCAGTATCAGTTCTTTATTCTCTATATCGCATTTGAAGAGAAAAAGTTCAGGATTATCAAACAATTCAATTTCAGAATTAGGAGGTCGATACCAGGCACTTAATAAAAAGGGCCTACAATGTAGTCTATTAATTTCAATACAAATCAATTCAAGGTATCCTGAATCAAATGTTAAATCGACTCTTTCAAAATGGGATATATTATTTTTTATATAAATGGCAATTCCACTGTCATTTCTATTTCCGTCTTTCCTATGAATGAATCTGAAAACTCTGACATGGACATGAAACGGTCACTGTTGGTCACTGAGGGGGAAACAAGCGCAAAGCATGTGGAGGGCGAACAAGATGGAGGTGAAGAAATGCATGACACTGAAGAGAACATAGACAAATCTGAAAACTCTGCCATGGACATGGAATGGTCACCATCGGTCTGTAAGGGGGGAACAAGCGCAAAGGATGTGGAGGTGAACAAGATGGACACGAACAATGTGTGACAGTGAAGAAAACATGAACTCTCGCACAGATATGCAATCGCCACCATCAGTCAGTGTGAACAACAAGGACAAAGCAAACTGTGCAACAAGTAATGATTATAACACCTTGACAACCAGGTACTCCTCATTTACTTTGCCAGCAGGTTGGGTTCTTAATGACGAGGAATACGTGGACAAAGTTGCCAATTACATAGAGTGCTCCCTCTACAAAGATCTAAAAAA